CTGCTGTCCTCTTCCTTCCGCCTGTGTGTGTATATATATAAATAAGGAGAAGGAAAAAAAATATCCCAAACTCTGATTAAAATCCCCCTTTTTTTTTTTATTCACCTGCCCATCTTTCCTCTGTCTCCATCTCCCATTCTATCCAAACTCATAATTAATCGCTCAAGGCAAAAGTAATGAATGTTAATTGGCCATCTGTACAAAGACTAATTAAAATCTACCATGCTGGGGATTAAAACATACCTATAGCAACTGCCTGAATTGAGAATGAGACAGAGGAGAGATTGAGAAAACAGCTGAAAGGCTTGTGCAAAACGCAATCTCGCTTAGGTGTGAGATGAGTTGCAACTCGGAGATCTGAGATGCTTTATTATTAAATTAAAAAAAAAAAAAAAGAAAAAAAAAGGGGGTGGGGAAGAAACTTCTGAGCTGAGCCGGGAGATGCTTTAATGGGAAGAAAGGCCGCGGGAGATTTCAAAGGCGGAGCGACACCCTTTGGACCCCAACATTTCGGGTTTGGTTTGGATGAGGATAATTGCCGCCCTCTCCCCTCCCCGCCGGCAGAAAATATTTCGTGGCATTTTTGGCTTTTTAATCTGGATGTGAAGAAGTGGCGCCGGGCCCTGGGAAGTTTCTGGGCCGGAGAGGGGAAAGAAGCATCCCCCAAATTTGAAGAGTTAGGGATGGAGCGATGGAGGGCATCAACGCCGGCCGGTCTGCATACCCCGGAGCTGCGTCCTGCCCTGGGCCGCCCCGCTCCGCTCCCGGCCCCTTCTTTGTCCGAAATCCGCAGCTTTTCAGCCGGCCGCCTCTTTGTTGTGGGGAAGGTTTAGGAGTTTAGGAGTGCAAAACAAATAAGGCAGCGCTAATTATACACGGGGCCGCTCCTCCTCCTCCTTGTTGCAGCCCCTATGAGCTCCCCGGCCCCTGCACAAACACCCCCCCACCTTCCCTGGATCCGTCGCCTCCAGCCGAGGTGTCCCCTCCAGCGCTGGTGACACGGCTGGAGGTGGCAGGAGGTGCCTGGGGGTGGAGGGCACCCAGGGGGATGCTGGCCGGAGGGTGGCGAGGAGGCTGGACCCTCTCCCCAACTGGGTTCCCCCAGGCTCAGGGCAGCTCTGGCACGTGCAAAATGCCATTTTTTTAAGAAAAAAAGAAGAGAAAAATCCTTTTCCTCCAGCCAAAGCTGGGGCTGGGTTTCTGCTCGAAGTCACCAACCTGCGGCTCCACCACCTTGTGTCCCTGAGCAGCTCCGGGCCAGGGCTGTCCCCATCCATCCCACGCGCCAGCTCCGATGCCACCA